AAACAAGGACGCATTAAGCACCGCTCGCTTATATGTTCTGGTTCGATTCGACTCGACTAATCTCACGATACTACACTCCTAGGAACATTTTAGGCGAATACTTCGATTTTGACAAGATGGTACCCTATAGGGAAGAACGCGGCGCCTGCAAGTTATATTATGCATCGAGCTGTGCTCGACGTAATCATGCATTGCAGTTTGAAGCCCAACTCCCTGGCCAGTTTCGCCTGATTCAGTTGTAGTCGTATGTAGTCCGCTTGAGTCGCGCAGATCATGTATGGCAAGGCAGGTATGTATTCGAATAGTATATGTATATGCGTTGGAGGTAAAGTTGCAGCGGAATATGAAGTGCATGTGAAATGATACTATTATTAAGATCGGGATGCCTTTTCCGTTCTTTTGCTCTTGAAGCTCCAAATTGTTTCCCTCCCCCGTTGATACATTTCCATATATCCCTGGCCCAAAAAAAGGAGTACCTACAGAACCAGAACAACAAAAGATGACGAAATAAAATCAAACAAAATCAAACAGATAAATATAAACGTAGGATCAATGTGCAAATGATAGATATTTTAATCCCTTTTAGTAATCGAAAACGGCATCGTATCTTTTTTACGAGCAACGGTAGAATGGATGGATCATCGGGGAAGCTCACGTATCCCAGCCGGGAAAACAGTACCGTTTCCCTTCGATTGGCTATTCCCGACGGCCACCACAGAAGATCGCCCAATAGATAGGCACGGTCCAAGACTAGGTGCATGTATGCCAACAAATCAATAGACGCATTGACGGCTGAGCTTTTTGAGGCTCGTGTCCAATTGGACTGTTGCATGGCATTACATAGTAGATAATATGTATCTCGAGTTTGAATTACGATATTTCATCGTATGATTTGTGAGAGGACGATAGGAACGATAGGGACGTAGGGGAAGTAGGGAACGACGAAGCTAACAAATCGTCGCGATAGAACACATCAAGTGACCATAGAGTGACAACAGATGGATAGGGCGAAAGGACGATGACGCTGTCGGAACTAACCGTCTTGTGTTCCAAGAGGCGTGCATGGTTTGCGCATCAGGTGTGATTGCAATTACATACTTCTTTTTATTTTTGTCGGTCTCTAAAATCTATCATGCACGAACGTACGGGAGAATTGTGTCTGATGGATATTACCATAGTATGGTACTGCTACGGTAGCAGCGTAATGGTGTTCACACTTCCATGGTTCGAGGTTCATGGATTAGTTGCCAATGAGGGGAAAAGGAATTTGGATATTACTATTTGATGGTATTTACTACTTAGGTAGAGATAGTTATTACCATGGACTATATTTTGCCGTATACTACCGAGCTACCTTTGAGCTTATACATACGTCAAATATATGGCATCCAAAATACGTACGTATTAATAGTAAAAAAAGGGGGAGGGGAAGATAAGATAAAAAAGATTTTTTTTTTAAAAAATATATATATATATCAAAATCAAATCATATAACCACATTGTCCCACGTTACCGGAGGCGTTGTTGAAGTCGACTTAGAACGAAGCTACATAGTATATTCCAACTCGTAGGTATCCAACCAGATGCGTTCATATTTATCTACCTCACTATACCTTGCTATACCATACATATACCATACATACCATACGCTCCCCCCCTCCTCTCCCTACTGCGTACGGTAGCAAACACGACGTGTCGTGTCGTGCAACTGTACGCCCTTCTCAACACGAGCGAGCGACTCTTTCGCATCTGATTATCCCAGGTAGGTAGAGACGATCAATGATCAAAACAATAATCGAGGCATGCTAGGTGTGATGTGGCTTAGGGCGGCAATGAGAAGCGGTCCTATGAGAGTAAAATATTATTCCTGGGTGAAAAGGGGACCAATTGGGCTAGACTTCCGAATCAAGTTTACAGCGTCTTAGTTGACGATGTTCGCTGCGAGGTTGGTGAAGGCATGGAAGTATAGTATGTATGCAGCTTTTTTGAAAGCATATATCGTACATACCTACCTATAGGTACCTAGGTAGCTAGTAGAAATAGAGGAAGATGTAAGAAGCAGGTAGGAAAAAGACCAATCAATACGTAAGCTACCTACCTACATAACTAGCATAATATAGTAAAGTAGATGCGCCTACCTCTAACCACCTCAACCACGTCTATTCGTTGACCTCTACCTGCCTTACCTACACCTACATACATGCATTAGGTATTGTACATACAATACACATATAATACCTACCTAGTATAATACCTAGTATAATACATAGCAATTACATAGGATAACGTAATGTAATGCGTGTACTACCTTTATCTGACCTACCAGTCCTTCCAGACCTACACCTGGACGTACCTACCACTACATGATGTTAATGTATGTACTTACATCTTGACCTTCCCTCTATGTCCGCATGAACATTCTTTTTTTCCTCTTCTTCAAATGCACATAGTACCTACCTAGGTAGTATGCGGGTATGTAACGCGGTATGTACGAATGCAGGTATCGTTAGCATCGTTAGCATCGTTAGGTCCGGTAGGCAAGTCTCGTACGAACATAGTATGTACACGTCGAAGATCCAAGTCCAGAAAAAGTTCATTACCCTAGATCCGTAAGGTAGACGTGCAGCTTGGTTAATACCTAAGGTACATACGTAGCCGAGTGGGTACATTAGGTATGGATTACAAGTGACTTGGGATTGTTTCTCGCCTGCCACAAATCATTCGCGTTGCCCTGGGCCCTGGCAAGGTCCGTGCTGGTTACTGCATACTATGTACTTAGAACCCTTGGTGGGCTAGCAGCCAGCCGCTAGCCAACAGCTACGCTACGTAGCACGCGTATCTAGCGGACGTGTCTAACCCCTTACGGTACTAATACCCTAGGCACCGCCAGACCCCTGGCCCCATTGATCTGTATTGTTTAGACGAATATTTCTAACACATTGCTACGTACTTGACTCGGTTAAAGCATACCCGTTCGTTTGTACAGTTTGTACATGTACCTCCTTCTTTCTACTTACATATGTACCTACATAGCTACCTAGGTACCTACATACCTACATACACATACATTACATGCCCTGACTCCTGCGTCTTGAAGCGACTCGCTCATGTCGCGACGAACGGTTTTTACCTACTGATTCCATAGGAATTGATGAAATGATTTGATCGTTTGAATTTCTTTTCCTCTTCCCGCTCTTCTAAACTTGGTATTTACTTTCCAACCTCGCCCTTAGTCTCTCAAACATTTCTCTTTTTCTCCCCTTTTCCTGTCTTCTCTCTACATCATCTATTTCTACTCGTCTGTACTCTCTCCCTCTCTCTCTCCGCCCCCGTTCTTACTGACGAGGATAAAGAAAAGGACACCATACTCGATTTGTAGTTGGCTTCTTTTCCATTGACAGGAATTTTCCGCAACTTCATCCTTCATCTCTCTTGACCGCTTGTAGGAAAGGAAAGAAAAAAAATTTATAAACCAAGTCGTGTCCACGTGCAAAAGGTCTTAACTCTTAAGAGGGGCAAAGCAACTCTGAATTTAGTAACCTTGCGGTGGATCTCAAGCTTGTTGTAAGTGTGTCTCTTATCCTGATCATATTTTTTTTCCCGCCTTCTTCTTATTTTTATTTTATGTCTCTTTTTTTTTCTTCCTCACTTATCATTGTCCGACGCGTGAACGGAACTCACACCCCCTTTTCTGATCAAAAGGGAAAGAATTCCCTTAAGAAGGAAGACGAAGAGAGAAGGAGAAAAAAAATCTAATTCTTGCCACGCTTTAAAAGTCTTTTAAAAAAAGTTATCGTTACCACCTGCATACTTTTCAGCAGTGTCAGCTTTTTAGGTACCTCGTCCCATCTACAATACCCGCTCCTGCACTTGCCGCATCCACCATTTTCCTGTTTGATTTGATTTGATTTTTTTAACCTATTTACCTATTTTCCTTTTTTACCCTTCCCACCACACAAAAGACCCCAAACCCAAACTTGACACCACCCACCCACTTTGAAATTTGACTTGCAGTTTGCATGCATCAAAATCTCGACGAGTCACCGTCATCCATTCATCACGGCATCCACACTTGTCCGCCGCCAAATTCACTACATTCACTACATCCACTACCCACTAACCGATTACCAACCGAATAAAAAACGGTTCTTTTCGGCAGTCAAACCCACTTTTCTTTTCCACGGGCGTATTTTTTTTTTCTCTCGGTACTTTGTACCCTAGACTTTGCTGGTCTACCAGTGCGAGACAACGCGAGTTTGATTTCTGACAAGGGCTAGTACTTCAGGCGAACCAAAATAATAAAACCGACCGAAAAAAAAAATTTACCACGGTATCTTTTCCCTAATTAAGAAAGAGGGGGGTAAATTAGTGATTCGGTTGAAATAAGAAGTCACAACCACCACACCTCTCATCTCGAGGAACGTGGATCCAAATTCTCCACTTTAGAAACACCATTTGGACCCCATCAGTCCCATCTTCTGCTGCTGGGTTTGGAGCCTCACGAACTACTTTCGTCCACCTGCTCCATTCAATCCCCAATTCTACCCCAAAAACAACCTTCCCCTCATCGCCGCTTAATTTTATTTTATTTCCTTTTCTTTTTTATCCTGCCTCGCGGCATTCCCATCGTCGACCTTTTTTGCCTTTGCGCGATAATCCAATATCCGCACTGGCGTCAACATCCTCATCCACAGGTCGGGTAATAGGCGTGGAGGAATTCTCAGGATCCTTAGGTCACCTATATTTTTTTTTTGACCTGCGACACCTGTCAATATAGCAACTAACGCCAACGCGTTCGCCCGCTATAAAACCCACATCTTGCCGTCGCGCGTCACAATCACCACGTTCGCTACGTGCAGGGTTTTAGTCGGTCTCGATTGAACCTCGGACAAAGAACGGAAGAGGTGAAAATCAGGAACAATTGTTAGCACTACAGAGACCTAAGATTGCTTCATTTTGAGCAATCGTGGCCTCATTTGCAATTGCCACTTGGACAGGATATGGACAGTGGCTCAAACCAAAACCCGTACTCGTCTAACGGTATAAACACGACAGGAGCTTCTTATCCTTCCCCAGCTGCCATCTCCCCTAACCAGCTGCAACACGCGTCTATCCAGCACACGCTGCCGCCTTTACAGCACAACGCTTCTGCTATGCAATCTATTTACGGAAGCCACCCTCACACCCCAAGGACACCAGGCACTCCTAATACTCCCCAGCCGCCTAACATGAGCCAATACCCACCGCCTAACTCTGGCCCTACTCGTGGTTCTTACGGTATGATGCCTAATCAATATCAGCAGCCTCAGCAGGGTTATCCCACGTCGTCTTCAATGATGCCTCAAACTTCTGTCGCGGCTTCTCACCCGCAGCCTATCGCACCCGCCCCTGCAGCGGCGCGCCCTCCTGTTCTTCGTCCGATGCCCGCTGGCGGGGTTATGCCGCAGACTGGGCTGCCGTCACCTTACAGTGGAAGCCCTATGATGCCGCATCAACAATCTCTACTTCAGGACAATGAACAGCCTACCCATGTGGTAGGTTCTCAAGGACGACGTGGAATATTGCCCAGTGCTCCGGGAAGACCCGCTGCCCCAACTGGTAGTGGTGCATCTAAGAACACGGTAATCCCGCAGAAAGATGCGGATGGCAAATTCCCCTGCCCCCACTGTACAAAGACTTACCTCCACGCGAAGCACCTTAAGCGTCACCTTCTCCGACGTGAGTCTAACAGATCCACCACGGGATTCTCCATTTTGCTAACCTTGTTTTCACAGATACCGGCGACCGCCCTTACATGTGCGTGTTGTGCCGTGATACGTTTTCGCGAAGTGATATTCTGAAACGTCACTTCCAAAAGTGTTCGATCCGACGAGGAAACCCCACCGGCGTGAGCCATCTGTCTCATCCCCAAGCACATGTTAAGAAGCAACAACAGAACGCACAGAAGGCTAACGAGGGTGACTTGAGTCACATGAACGGCATGACTAACATGCCAGGTGATAATGTCGTCCACCCTTTCGGTATGGTTCAGATCCAAGATGGTATGGGAAACATGGCCAACGACCAGAACCAGCTTTCCAGATCAAGCAGTATGAGTCGGATGGACGAGAACGGTAACCGGGACCGAAGAAGCATGACCGGCGGCTACAACGGCGATGTTTCGAACTCGATGTCTTCGAATATCAACCCTCAGTTGGCCAACTTCAATATGCCTCAGGGCCAAAATGGCATGCCCATGTATGGAGCTTCTGGCTCAAACCAACAATCTGGCCTTGACTGGTCCCAGATGTTTCCACAGTCTGGTGCGCACCATGCCTACGTCAATCAGTTCCCTCCTAATATTGGACAGAATCAGACCGCAATCAAAACCGAGCCTAATCTCACTTCCGAAAGACCCAATGGCATGCCAGGCATGGCCCCGAACGATGTGAACGACCGATCGCTTTTTTTCTCGAATTGGGACGTGCAACCCTCGATGCAAGACCCTTACCACCGACTCTCTTCGCAGATCCTCAACTTTTTCCACCCTCCCGGCACGGTACCCTCCAGTCACACCGCCGGCCTTAACGACTTCTTTTCTCCTGTCAACATTAGAGACTTTCTTGATTCATACATCCATTTTCACTTCCATTTTTCATTCCTCCACATCCCCACCTTCCGTATCATGGAGGTTTATACAGGTTTGATAGCATCCATGTGCTGTATTGGCGCTTGTTACTCTGGTAATGCCGCATCTTCAAATGTTCGAGAGATGACAAATTTTTTAAAGATTGCATTGGAGCGCGATTGCGATCTATTCAGCAGCGAGGCGCAAGCCGGTCTTAAATTTGGCAATGGCCGAGACAAAAGAGATATCGAGCGATTACAGGCACTCATTTTGATGTCGTCGCTTCTCATTTGGAATGGTACACCTGTCCAGCGCGAAAGTGCTAGGAGAATCTTTCCTCTGGTAGCAGATATCAGCCGAAGATTTGATTTGTTGCAAGTCAGAAACGACTCATCTTTATACAGCATTTTTCATCAGCCAAAAATCTCGTTGGAAGACCTCAATCCCGGACAATTCGATTGGGCGGCGTGGGTTGAACAAGAGACGCGCATCCGAGTAATGCATATGATATATCTTCTTGACATCGCGCGCACTCTTTACTTCAACTGCGAACCTCAATTCGATAGTTTTGAGATTCGCATCCCGCTGCCCGCAGACGATGCGGTTTGGGAAGCGCAATCTGCGGTTGACTGCGCGCAAGGGCTAAACCTGTATGGGTCTGAGGCGGCAAGGAGACAAAATCCAGACGGATCGCAACGCAGTAAGCAACCTGAGTTGAACTTGACACTGGCCGCTCTGTTTCACAGTTCATATCAAATACATCCTGGGAGCACTAATCTGTATGGGAAATTCATTTTGATTCACGCTATTATTTCCCAAATCAGACGTGCTCAACTCGAAGGCCGTCTTGCCGCACTGGATGGTACTTCTACGCCTCTTTCGCAGAATGACTGGGTTATTGCGAACGGATCAGATACGGGGAGCGGTAATCCTAGCGCCAATAACAGCACAACTACTACACCGGTTGCGGGGTTTTCCTCTCAGACTTATAAGACTCTTTGCACTGCGCTCGATAAGTTTAAGTCGTACTGGGATATGGATATGGCAATCCAATTTCCTCCTTCGGTCTCCAATCCTAGGCGGTACGGTTTCTGTCGTGATGGAATACATTTTTTCTGGCTTGCGAAATGGATGCTCAAGAATACTTCGGTGGTGGACTTGCAATTGGCCCCGGATAGTCGATTTAAGCAGGTTATTCAACTACTTAAGACTGTGAAGTCGTGGGTTATGACGGACGGGGCATCAAGGGGGGAGGAACTCGGGTCCGTAAGCGACATCGATAATGATTTTGCGGTTACCGATCTTACGCTGGACATGACGCACCTTTTCAAACCCTTGCCGTCGGTCGTGAAGTCTCCTGGTATGCCTGCGGTTAAAACGGAAGTTTGAGAAAAGAAAAGCTACTATTAATCGACCAACGATCAACATATAAAAGCATAAATGTGGCGTTTTGTTGTTGTTTTTATTTCCTTTATTTTCCTTTATTTTCTTTTTTTTTTTTTTTCCTCTTTAAGGCCTCATAAAAAGTTTCGATTCCTTCTCTGCATCGGATCGGGTTGACGGCGGCAATTTCTCTGCATTTTCCGGATTGGCTCGCAACAAACTAGACTGGCTGTGGCGTCTGCATTTAGACTCGATGATTAGACTCAGGCCAGCTCAAAAGGCAGGCCCCACAAACCTACCCTCCTTGGGAGGTGATGATGATGTTTACGTCTACACTGACCGGTTAACAATTCCTGGAGTGGTCTCGTTTCTTGTGGTACGCATTATTTCATAGGGGTGGCATTCAAGTAAAGTGTGAGGGTAGGAGGCGGACTCATTGCAGCATGTTTTTCTTCCACAACTGATGTTAACGGGATGAGATAGACTTACAGATCAAAACAAAACAAATTATATGATTTCCATTGTTCCTGTTTCTAAGACCTGCGCACAAAGTGATAGTTGATGTCTTATGACAGCCTATGCTAGTAGTAAAGCCTAGAAGGCTCTATCTTTTTCTACTGTAGACATGCAAGGGTTAAGAGTATGCTTCCAACCATAAGTGGGTAGGTACTTATTGATCAATACTATCAAATGGTGTCTATGGATTTTGGATTTATAGTCAAAGTTAACCCCCAATTTGTGTAGTTTAGGTAGGTAACTGAGTCTTAGTTATGTTGAATAGTTTTCACATCATACTAGTTACGTGCTGTATAAACATTAGGTACTGTTCTTCAATTCAATTCTATTTTCTTTTGTTAAGGTCAAAGGCTGAATGAAATATAGAAATGGTAACTATATAGAAATTGCCCCGCATAAAGAAATCCCATTTTGACGCTAACTTATTTTATTTTTATTTTTTTGGAATGTTCTTCGAAGGAACGAAAGAAGAAGAAGGGCGGAAGGAAAGGGGGTAGGTTCAATTAAGGTAGTGTGGGCTGGGGAGGGGAGGGGAGGGGGAGTATAGAGCGATACTGGAACTGGGTTTAACTGGGTTAACTATACATAACTAACGAGAAGAGAAGAAAAAAAGAGAGAAAGGGAAAATGATATGTCATATGGGAGAGTGGAACCCCGAGCCCTGGCCAACCGAATCATCTCGATCACGGGTATAGATAGATTGGGGGTGGTGGTGGTTAGGGCGAGGCGGCGACATATCCTTTGTTTGTATGTATGTAAGTAAGGTATGTTATGAGGTATGCATATCTCGGGTTTCTCGCCCAAGCCGGAATAAAGACTCCAGGTTTAAATCAAGTAACTACCGAATTTTTATTTTATTTTTTATTTTTTATTTTTATTCTATTCTATGTACCCTGATGGGATAAAAGACGATCCACGTACCGGGAAGTAGCCGTAAGTATTGTTTTTCGCCTCCCTCCATCCCCCTGATTACCTACCTAATTTGTGTCTGTGTGTATTATGTATTATATAGGTGGCATCCATCCATCCATACATGCATATAAACCTACATACATACACGTCGTCGAGTATAAGCGTCCGGAGAGGGAGGCGGGCCCAGGGGTCTCCCGACCGTGGTAGTAGTAGCAATAGTAGAAGAAGAAGAAGAGAGACCCAGCACTTCTGGGCTAGCGAATGTGTATTCGGCCGTTTTTTGGCCGCGGCCAGAGAACACCCCTTGAACGGCCCGTGGGGACCAGCCACGTGGGTTCGTGGACGGCGTTCCCATCCCTTCCCTTCCCTTGATCCCAAAAGGTCACGCGCGTTATCGACGGGCTAGGGCAGTAGTATGTGTACGGATTACGGGAAAAGGGGGAACGAGGAAGGAAAGGAAGAGAGAAAGAAAGAAACGCTTGTGGCGGCCGTTTTCTTCGCCGGGTCTGAGTTGTCTGAGCATTATACGTACATACGTACATGCATACATACATGTGCGTGTCTGTATGTACGTAGGGCTTTTTGCAGAACGGGGCTCAGGACAGGGGCCGTTCGAACCGTTCTCCTTCCTCGTCCGGGTAAAGGTAGGTACCGCGCCTAAAATCCATGGGTCCGTCGGTATTAGGTTTGTTGTTCAGGTTGGTTAGTTGGGTTGGGTTAGGACAAGTCAGGTCAGGTTAGGTTACGAGGCCGAGAAGGGGAAGGTCTAGGAAGGAAAGAAAAAAATTGAAAGAAGCTTTTTGCGGATCCAATGTGTGTCGTTCTGGGAGAGGCTATCCCTAGACAGGGGACGTATGTATTTGCGTGTGTGTATATGGAATATATGCCGTATGTATACATACATATGCCATGTACATGTCTCTATTCCCTCCCGCACGGGGCAACTTTCGCTACAAGAAGCGTCGTCCGTCCACCACGTTCCAGGATCGCGAAGTCCGCGTACATACACTCGCTGCTACTCGTCCACGGCCTACGAACGACGTGTATGACGTCTGACGGACTCGCCAGGGGTGTATGTGTGTATGTGTGTGTATGTGTTCGCTAGTTGGCATTGCTGCTAGCTTAGCCGCTTCTTGAGCTGTGGAAACAAACGCCGCTACGCACATACCATTCATTACCATAACTATTACCATACGAACAAAAAAAATCAATGCTGTTATTGCTGCTACTCCTGCTGCCCCTCTCCTCATACCCGGCCGATCTACCATCATCACGCGTTTTACCCTACGTGGCACGGATCCGACCAGGCTCGTTACAGCTAGCCGGGAGGGACTTAAGATCAGCCACGTCTGTTTGTTTACACTACTCGAGCTGCTAACGTGCTCTAACCTAACCTAACTCCGACCTCGTCGAGACCTCATGCCTCATGCCTCATCCCTTCCCTTCTTACCTACTTGGGTTCTCGTCCCCGCTTCTCGAGATACATACACTACACTACCTAGGTAGATCGCCCAAGTTAGGCACCGAGACAGAAAAGCCAGAGCCAGGTTTGGAATATCATGTAGCCATTGCATTGGCGTTGCTGCTACAGCCTCTCGAACCAGCTTGGAAAGCCCGCCTGTTCATCATCCCTCTCCCGGTGGCGAATCTCCTTCTCCTTCTTTCTGCATGGCGGCAACTGGGACCGCACCGCCGGTTGTATGTTGTTGTTATGCGCCTTGCCAACCCCAGCTGGCTAGGCTTCCGATAGGTCGCGCCAGCTAATCGCCTAGTCCGTACAGCTAGGTACAGAAAGAGAGCAGCAAAGCAGCAGCCGCAAAGTAAATATGCCAGGTAAAAAAAGTATGTAACTATGCATTTCACCCAAGTTAGCTACCTTCCGTACCTCCTCCCTAGATACCTACATATTCACATACACAATTCTTGTTTATTTTATCCTTTTTTTCTTATTTATTTTTATTTATTTTTTACTGTATCCTCCCTTCTCATGCAGCAACCAGTCAGCCAGCCATACTATCTCCTATCTAGCTTTCGTTACGAAAAAGTTATCTATCACGAGCTTTGCCGTCTTTCCGCCCTCCCCCCTTCCTCTTGATGTTGTTGTGTGTACCTAGCTCTACCCCCCTTCACCGCTGCTTGCCACCACTACCACTACCGCTAGCACTACCGGCGCCACTATCGACGTCCCTGTCGACGACGGTGACGCTCGGCAGGATCTTGTCGAGGGCGGCCTTGTCCTCGTCGGTGGGCGTGAAGCCGTACCGCTCCTCGGCCCGATCAGACAGCTGCAGACCGATGGCGCCCCAGGCCAGCAAGCCCAGGCCGACGCCCATGCGGGCGCGGGACGAGAGGTTGCGGAAGGACCTGTGAAAGTTTTAGTTTTAGTTGTTGTTTTTTTTTTCCCTCTGTCTTTAGAGCCTGTGTGTGTGTGGGTATATGTAAATAAAGATTTATTACTAATTTTATTATAAATAATATGAGATAGATAGGTAGGTTAAGGTAGGTAGTGAAGGAAAACGGGAGTAGGGGGGAAAGGTCAAGTCGAGTCGGTGACGCCCGAGAGGTGAGGAGACGGAGACGGTGAGAAGAACGGTGAGGCGTGAGTGGCTGGTTGGGGTGGATTGGACCCTCCTGGTTGGCTGGTCACATTTAAGGTCGAGAGGTGACAAATGTATATGTGTAATTGTGTAATGTATAGGTATGTGCATGTATAGCTGATGTATACCTAGCTAATGTAAGGTATAATGTAAGGTATATGTAATATGCTTTGCGCTGTAGTTATGTAGATGTAGATGTAATGCAATGTATACTAGGTATGTATAAGTAGGTAGGTATGCGAGTATGTGTTGTTATAATGTGTTCATATGTAGGTTGTAAAGTGAGGTGTAGAAAGAGAGCATCAAGCATGCAAAATAACCTTGGAGGTCTTTTTTTTACTTACTGTAACAGCGACATGCTTATACCGTATGGATGAATCTATAAATGACTTCCCGTTCGACTTTCTCTTCTCTCTCACCGACCTCCCCTGTTTCTGAGTACCCTAGGTACGGATATATGTGTCTCGTGCCGCTTGATCGAAGAAAAAAAAAAAGAAAAAAAAAAAGAGCAAGCCTCCGAGACGTTACGATAACGTAAGCTGGCGTTGCTGTTGTGGTGTTTTGTATGTAATGTATGTGTGACCAGGTGGGCAGAAAGCGGTGAGTTCGAATTTAATTTTTTTTTTTTCTTCTATGAAGTATTATTGTTAATTTTTTTTTTTTTTTTTTTTTTTTTTTTTTTTTTTTTTTTTTTTTTTTGAAACCAAGGAAAAAATTTTTTTTGTTGTTTTTTTTTTAAAAATTTTTTGTTTTTTTGGAATATATAAAAATATAAATATAAATAAAT